GAGAGAGCTATGAAAATGCCTTGATGTCTGTCCATGACCTTCCATTTGTCATTCCTCATTTTAGGATCCAGGGGAGACGTGGTGCTGACCCAGACCCCACAAGTGCTGTCCGTCAGCCTGGGAGGGACGGCGTCCTTCTCCTGCAGGTCCAGTCAGAGCCTCCTGGATAGTGATGGAGACAGCTATTTGCATTGGATGGTCCACAAGCCAGGCCAGGCTCCACGGGGCCTGATCTACCTGGTATCCACCCGGATTCCTGGCATCTCAGACAGGATCAGTGGCAGTGGGTCAGGGACAGATTTCACACTCACTATCAGCCGGGTGGAGGCTGAGGACGCTGGAGTGTATTACTGTTGGCAAAGTACTCATGATCCACCCACAGTGCTACAGCCCTGAACACAAACCTCCTGCCCGGAGGCCCAGCTGCGCCTGCCCTGCTGTCTGGGGAGCAGCACAGCCCAGACCGCTCTGTGTGAGGGCAGAGGCTGGGGAGGGAGCTCAGCGCAACACCTCGCAGCTGAGGCCTCTGCCCAGGACAGAGAGTGAGGATGACAGCAGAGCAGCAAGCCCTGCGCTGTGCTGAGGACACTGGCACAGGGAGAGGAGGACGGAGCGGACCTCCCCAGGGGCCTTTGGCCTTGAAAATTCTCTCCATTTATGAAAATGAGTGAAGTCAAATCAAGCGCGCAACAATGAATTTAGCATAAAGTGATTTGTAACATAGAAATGCCTTGGAAGATGTGTATTTCATCTGGCTTCCCTCTTAGCATGTCCCGACCCAGTGAGTACACGGTGGTACTGCGCTGTGCTCTCAGTCTCCGTGACTTTCTGGAGCGCTGCCCCATCTCAAGAGGGACAGAGTCCAAGAGATCTCTTCTGGGCTCCCAGGTCTAGCTTCGTGGGACTCCATGGATCATCCCGAACCCGTGCGTCATGCCGGGCTCGTTTCAGGATATGCCCAACCAATCTATCATTGGGATTTCTCCACTGTATATTAAAATAATACAGGACTGGTCAAATAGCTCAACAGATTAAAGTACCTACAAACAGGCGCACAGGCGGAGGGTTCGATCCCTGGGCCTGCTGTGATAGCCCGCCCCCAGGGCGCACTGAGAAAGCAATTTGAGACTGGGCATGGTGGAGCAGTGCCTCTAATCCCACCTCTTAGGAGGCTGTAAACAGGTGGATCACTATGAGTCCGATCTAGTAGTGACACCCTGAACACCCAGTAGACTCCTCCCTAATTACAAAAAAAAAATAATATAATAATAATAATAATAATAATAATAAAATAATATAATAATGTAGCTGGACAATTACAAAAATGTGAAAACCATGACAATGGCTCCTGATGTCTGCACATGACCTTGCGCTTCTCACTCCCCGTACTCATCCCTCATTCCTCTTCCTGACCCCACAGTGAGTACAGGTCCTGGGTGGAGGACACTGCACTCTTGTCCTGTCTGGCTGATCAAAGCACCAAGGCAAAGGCAGGATCCACACGGGGACTCTGCCTCTTCCTACAAGGGGCTGACCTGAGAGAAGATTTAGGATCCACATGTAGTGATACTCAGGCAATGAGCTTCCATAAAAAGGGGGCAAACAAATTCTTAACGTATTTCTCAGAGCCATTAACAGCAGTTGGACATAAGTTTTTTTAGGCTATATTTGCCTCTGTTCTCCATTAGCAGTCATGGAGTTCTATGAGGCTTTAGTCTCCACAGGACTCTTATTGCCAAGCTTATTCCAGGCAAACAAGACATGGAGACCTACCGCTTCTATGATGAAGGCAGGCACCTCACACCACCACTCATCTTTATGAGGGGTGGTAACTCTCAAAAGGCTCTGGTTCTTCCCTTTTCTGAAAATTTTCCAGGACCCCTACTAGCCTCAAAGTTGCATGTAGGATGAGAGAAACGAGAAGTCAGATAGTGAGGACAGTTGATACCCTTTTACTATTCTTGGCTTCAGGACAGCTTACAAAGTTAACATTAAGAAGCCCTAATCCCATTATCCAAGCCACTGTGTGCTTATTTTTCTAGACCAAGCAACATTGTCATGAAAAGGTGGGCAGGTACTGGTCATATCAAACAAGAGCAAATATGTTTGGTGCAATATTGGACATGAGCTGAGACAGATAAACGAAATCAAAGCCTGCATTATGTTAGCCAATGAACCCCAAAGAATTCACAATCATGGCTCCTGAGGTGGGAAAGAAGACAGAAGCAACAATGGGAGGCAGGGGGAAATCAGGACTTGCACTGGAACATACTTCAGATTTTTGAGATTACAGCAGACCTCCAACTGACACCCATCTCTGAGGCACAGGCATATGGGGGATTCCGCAGCTCTGGGAAGCCATCTCCTTGTATCCTCCAAATACAAGGATAGAGCAGAAGTCAAGACACAAGGGAACTCATACTAGGGGCTGTGGATTAGAAATCACTGGTAGGATGGAGGAAGAGAGAAAAGGGGGAGAAAAAGACAAAGGAGGGAGACAGGGGTGAGAGAGAAAGGCAGAGACAGGCAGACAATGACGGACAGACAGACAGAGAAAGGGAGAGAAAAGGAGATCCTACAGTGAAGACAATATTGAAAAAAAAAAAAAAACTTTCTTTCATAAATGTAAAAGGAAAGTGTTGAATGCACATAAAATTGTCCCTCGGGGTTCCTTGTTATCAACAGTACCAACATTGTGTCTCTTGCAAGACCGCAGCTCCCCTGGGTGGGGGCAAGATTTCAAAGACTGCTTTTATAAGAAGCTGGGAACTTGCTGCTACATCTACTCAGTCCTGCGCAGGCAAACTGCAGGGAGACTGCCCTTAACATTCAGCTTTCAGTATCTTGAAAT